GCTGCCGAGTTTTTGTGCAGCTGTTTCCAGGAGTTCTTTCAGGCGCTACTCCAACGCTAACCTCTCCCGCGACTGTGCCACCCCCAGTAGCACTAGATCCAAAATTGCCTGTTCCTGAGGGAGCTTGAGCAGTGGGCTGCGCCGGACGGCCTGCACTCCCACCTGCCCCAGCTCCACTGCTGCTCGAACCTCCACCAGAAGGACCCCCAGCGCCGGCGCCACCAGCCGGGCCCCCGCCACCACCTCTGTCGGTTTCGGAGTCAGAAGAATCGCCTGTGTCGTCACTGTCTTCGTCTTCATCCCCTTCTCCTTCAACGTCATCATCTCCCTCTTCATCATCATCTTCTGCCGCGGCTGTCCCTCCCGATGCTCCCGAACCTGGCTTCGCGGCGCTGCCCCCTCCAACGCCTGATGCGCTGGCCCGTTGCTGCTGCTGTTGCTGCTGCATACGCAGAAGTAGCAGTTGCTGCTCCTGAAGTTGCTGGTGAAGAGAGGCGGTTCCGCTCGTCTCTCCCTGAAGCTGCCCCGGCGCTCTAGGAAGCTGCTGTTGCGCTGGTGCTGATGTTGCGTGGTCCGCCTTGTCCTGCCTGTTGGCATCTGACGGTGCGGCTTGGTGTTGTGGCTTCTGCAATGCAGCCGCTGGGGCAGCATTTGCTGGTGGCGCCTTCCCCTGTACCTCCTGCTGCTGCTGCAGCTGTTGCCAGGGCTCCTGCGGTGATGCACATGTATTACGCTGTGGGTCCCACATATTCAAATAACAGAAGAACTTCGGCCTGAGAGCTTCCGCGTCCACCTCTGGAGGGAGTCGGCGCCACTTCTTGCATGAGCGGCACTCCAGCCATTTCCCTCCTCTCTCCGCAGCCGATGCTGCGGCTGTGTCCGAGCTTCCTTCTCGGCGCTCTGTGTCTCCTGCAGCCCCCCCAGATGCTGCGGCAGCTGCAGTTACTGCGCCCCCCGGAGAAGCAGCAGCCGCATTGGGCGTGGCCCTTCGGGCAGCATCGAGCAACCGAACTTGCTGCTGCTGCAACAGCTGCAGCTGCTGCTGCTGAAGAAGCTGCAGCTGCTGCAGCTGGCCTCCAGCTCCACCAGAAGCGGAGCTGCCAGCGTGTTGCTGCTGCTGCGCTTGAGGCAGTTTGGCTTGCTGCAACTGCTGCTGCAATTGCAGCTGCTGTTGAGTAGCCGGCGCCGCGTTGCGTTGGCCAGAAGCAGCAGCAGCGGCGACTAGCTGCTGCTGTCGGAGAAGCTGTGTTGGTGGGTCAGCCTTGACATCTGGCTTGGCTGTTTCGGTTGTCCTTGAAACACTCGTTGTGCGCTGTCTCTTTGCAGCGCTCTGCTGAAGTTGCTGCTGTTGTCTTTGCAGCGCTGCTGCTGCCTCCAAAAGCCGCTGTTGACTTTGTTGCGGCTGCTGCTGCTGCTGCTGCTGCTGCTCCTGTTGTGCAGGATCGGGCTCCTCCGGAGCCTCACAAGAAGCAAACTGCGGGGCCCATGTGTTCATTCTGCAAAACCATTTGTCGCTAGTTATTGGATTAGGAGCTCTTCTCCACTTGTTGCAAGCATCGCACTGCACCCAGTTGTCAAATACGACGGGGGGCTGCTGCTGCAGCTGCTGCAGCAGCTGGTGCTGCTGTTGCTGTAGCTGCTGCAGAAGTTGCTGTTGCTGTGCCTGCTGCATTTGATGCTGAAGCTGCTGCTGCAACAACTGCTGCTGCAGGGCAGGAAGATTGCCACCCGTAGCTGGTCCTCCCCGCTGTTGTTGCTGCCCCATCTGGTGCTGCAGAAGATTCTGACGCACATGCGCAGTAACAGACGCAGCAGCATCCGCAGCGGGTATGAGTCCTGGGGCAAGAAGCACGTTTTCTCCTGGTGCCGCTGCAGGACCCTGCAATGGCAAAAACGACTCTAAGTGACTCAAATGGACTGTTGCTCTCCAACAGCTACACTGCTGTGCCTTCTAGACTTTACACTGCGGGCAGCTACAAAGACGGCTGTGCTACTGCCGAGATGACTTACTGCATCTGCTGCACTGTTGCCAGTCTGGAGCGGCCTCTGCACTGCCGCAGTACCCTTCGACGGCGCCCTAGACTTCGCCTTGGCTTTCGCTTTAGGCCTTGGGGCAGAGCTCCCCGCAAACCGCTGTTGTTGCAGTAGTTGTTGTTGCTGCAACTGTTGCTGCTGCAGCAGTTGCTGCTGTTGGCGCGTCTGCTGCTGCTGCATCTGAGCAGCGGGGTCTGGCTGCTCAGGAACACTGCAAGAAGCATATCGCCTGTCCCATGTATTCTGTTCACATACCCAACTGGGCTGCGTTATCTCGTATGGAGCCACACGCCACTTGTCGCAGCGGTCACACTGCATGAACGAACAGCAGACGCAAAACGCCTTCGCGGTACAGGCTTCCAGGTACACCCAACGAGGTGCATCCTTTACAGGAAAATAGGCTAGCAAACACTCACGACTCCGCCCAAGACAAAAAATAACGTTGAATGCAGCACAGCTAGTGGCGAGTCGAGTCGTGCACGTAGGGAAGTCAACAGGTACCCACCTGGACCCAATGAACCTTCTCCGGTTCCTGCTGCTGCTGCTGCAAGAACTGCTCCTGCTGTTCTAAATGCAAGAGCCTTTGCTGAACTCCTGAAGCACTAGTTGCTCCTTGGAGCTTTGCTGTGATCCCCTGCTGCTGCTGCTGCATTCGCAGCAACTGTTGTTGCACGTGCAGGTTTGCAGGGAGCTGATTCTGCGGAAACTGCACACGCGGCTGCTGCGCACCTCCATGAGGAAGTGGCGTTGCCGCTCCACCAGCCTGCGGCTGCTGCGGCTGCTGCTGCTGCCCTTGCTGCATCCCCAAAGTCAACAGCGGCTGCTGCTGGCCACCTTGCTGTTGCTGTTGCAAGGCCATTGCCTGCCGAGCGGCAAAAAACTTCCCTCTTCTGGCCAGGCTATGCAGGGCCTAATGTCACAGCGCCGTTATGAGGCCTTCCCTACACTAATTTGTGGAAACGCCAAGGCAGTCCGTGAACTACGATAACACAGCACGGCCAAAGAGTCCCCAGCATGAGAGCACCGGGACTGAGGAACTCGCACTGCTGAAGTGGGTGTACACTTATTTGGAGAAGAGAAGAGCCGAACACCAAAGCAACCAAACAAACTCGAGCGCAAGCCAAATCGAAAAAGGCGCCGCATGGAGTACTCAAAACGGCTGCCGGCTACAACTCACGCGTTGCTGGCCCGCCGTCTCCTCCACAGGCCAGACTTATTGTGTCTGTGAAGAATATGACAAGTTCTACCCAAGGAATTGAAAAAGAACGCCATCACCTCCCCGGACAGGGATGCCAGCTGTGGCTACTCCAGTGGCAGGCCACAGCCGGACGAGAGTTCACGTGGGGGGTGAGGGTGCGACTGCTGCTTGTTGTGTGGCTGAGTCCCTTGCGTCTTATTGTCCTTATATCACTCCAGACGAATTATTTAGCACAAGTTCACTACTAGCTCAGGCCCGTCTACACACGGGCTGCAAGAGACTGCTTTTCTGGCTGGGCTTAGCAGCACAGACCTCCCACGTGTCGTGGTAGTAGCTGCAGCGCAGCTCCACCCACGCAAAGTAGCAAGACTCGCTCCCTCATCTGCTTCCCCTACATTTTCCAAGGACTGTGTCCTATTTTTCAATCGTTACGTAGACGACACGAGCGGGAATGTGCACACAGAGACGTCACAGCACCTTTGATATGCTGGGTGACAGTTCTGGAGTGTTGCTCTCGTCGGTACTTAAGTCGCCGGAGGGGCTTCTCGCTTGTCCCCACGTCCCCGTAAGTGTTAGCTTAATCATGGGGCTAAATGATGTCTAGGTGACACGCAGGTGCCCAGTGGTGCAGTGTCTGGAGCCACTTTGAACATCCCAGCTGTGCTAGACGAGACGCCAGAGTTAGTAGGTGCTCACTCCTGATTTCCCAGGAATTTGACGGCAAACTGTGCATTAAAGCGGAATAGCAGCTTGTTGCTTCTCACTGGGATTGGAATGGCATGAAAATTTGAAGTCCTTTCAAGCATCAGCATTGTGGTACGTTGTTGCTGCCAGGTTCATTGTTGACTCCGCTGAGAAGTGCTGCTCAAAACAAACGAGCAGTTCACGAGTAGTACTTTGTTTGCGGAGACATTTCAACATGTTCTTTTGCCCAGAAGTTTTTCCTGTTGTGGAAGATGCTGGGGGTGGAAGTGAATTTGTCTTGCAGGGCGGTCATGCACAAGCGCCTCATTTTGAGGGACCGCTTCACTGCCAATTTCAGCAGCTGCAGGTGCTGCTAAAGTTGTGGATGCTTCCGTCATTCTGCGCGCTGAGCGTTGTCTGTTCGAACGATGCAGGCGCTAGGCAGATTTTGTTGACCGTTATAGTGCAGTTAGCATCCGCAGGAACGCGCGACCTAGCATTGAGGCGGACCAGCTACCGCACAATTCCTTCCTTAAGAAGACAAGGTGCAATGACGTAAAGCGCAGCAGAAATTGAGGAGAGAGTGGAGGCGCCGGTGGTAGAGATGCTGGTTACTCAGTGACGGGGCTTTGCGATCCGGACAATGACTTCCAGCAACCATACCGGTGCTAACTGCGCCGGACTTCACATGGTGAATAGTGCGCACACAGCGGAGGCAATAAGTCCTATGCCAGTAGTGGCCACACATGGGAACATAATACTTGCTAGCCCCTTCAAGAAGGCGGTGTCCCACAGACTGCCCTCCAGGACACTTCTCCCCTATCCACGCTGGAAGTCGCGAGACATGCCTACTGCCAGTGTTGTAGTGAGCTATGTCCATTGATGTAGTGCCCAACTGTCATCCTCTTCCTACGCCCTTTGGTCGCCAGCACCGACTAAATGGCACCTCCCTGTGAGCCTAGCTTTCAAACAACTTTGTATAAAAACAAATCGCGTCGTCACTGTACATATCAAAGCTCCGTCAACGATCGCGATCACAGTGCAAAAAAAAATGATGCAACGCCATTTAAAGCCGAGCGAAATCTCAAGGCACAGATATTTCCACGCGGCTGCTTGCCTGCTGCTGCACAAATGAGGCGAGGCCTTTGGTAGTCCGCTCTCCCATAAACTTGATTGGAGTATCTGATCCTTTCTTGAAGAACCACACAGTCGGGAAACCAGTCACCTTGTACTTCTCGTCCGGCAGTCGGTTGGCCGCGCCGTCCATTTTCGCCACAACCAGTGACTCGCTAGCTGTCTTCGACTCGGCCGCAAGCTTCCCAAACTCTTCGTAGATGGGCTCCAGCTTTTTGCAGTGTCCACACCACGGAGCGTAAACGAGCAGCAGCACGTCCTACACAAAAAGCGGAACAAAACACCACGAATCCTCCTACACAATACGGCCGCTCATTTAATACGCGGCGTGCCTTCGTCTACACAAGTTGCGCGGGCAACAATATTTTGCAGCATTTCGCACTAGCACGAACGGGGCCGAGATATCCCTACAATCCAAACGTGCGCTGCGTGCTTCCGCACATAAACTCCCATTAGTGATCTCCTACCTTTCCTGCATCCAGAACCTGCGACTTGAACGTGTCGCCAACCACAACTTTCACAGCGCCATCATTCACCGTCGGAACCGGCTGCGACACAGCCTCCACTGCCGGCGAATCAGGGACCTTCAGTTCTACTTTCGCTGTTGCGTGCTGCTGCACAAATGAGGCGAGGCCTTTGGTAGTCCGCTCTCCCATAAACTTGATTGGAGTATCTGATCCTTTCTTGAAGAACCACACAGTCGGGAAACCAGTCACCTTGTACTTCTCGTCCGGCAGTCGGTTGGCCGCGCCGTCCATTTTCGCCACAACCAGTGACTCGCTAGCTGTCTTCGACTCGGCCGCAAGCTTCCCAAACTCTTCGTAGATGGGCTCCAGCTTTTTGCAGTGTCCACACCACGGAGCGTAAACGAGCAGCAGCACGTCCTACACAAAAAGCGGAACAAAACACCACGAATCCTCCTACACAATACGGCCGCTCATTTAATACGCGGCGTGCCTTCGTCTACACAAGTTGCGCGGGCAACAATATTTTGCAGCATTTCGCACTAGCACGAACGGGGCCGAGATATCCCTACAATCCAAACGTGCGCTGCGTGCTTCCGCACATAAACTCCCATTGGTGATCTCCTACCTTTCCTGCATCCAGAACCTGCGACTTGAACGTGTCGCCAACCACAACTTTCACAGCGCCATCATTCACCGTCGGAACCGGCTGCGACACAGCCTCCACTGCCGGCGAATCAGGGACCTTCAGTTCTACTTTCGCCGTTGCGTGCTGCTGCACAAATGAGGCGAGGCCTTTGGTAGTTCGCTCTCCCATAAACTTGATTGGAGTATCTGATCCTTTCTTGAAGAACCACACAGTCGGGAAACCAGTCACCTTGTACTTCTCGTCCGGCAGTCGGTTGGCCGCGCCGTCCATTTTCGCCACAACCAGTGACTCGCTAGCTGTCTTCGACTCGGCCGCAAGCTTCCCAAACTCTTCGTAGATGGGCTCCAGCTTTTTGCAGTGTCCACACCACGGAGCGTAAACGAGCAGCAGCACGTCCTACACAAAAAGCGGAACAAAACACCACGAATCCTCCTACACAATACGGCCGCTCATTTAATACGCGGCGTGCCTTCGTCTACACAAGTTGCGCGGGCAACGATATTTTGCAGTATTTCGCACTAGCACGAACGGGGCCGAGATATCCCTACAATCCAAACGTGCGCTGCGTGCTTCCGCACATAAACTCCCATTAGTGATCTCCTACCTTTCCTGCATCCAGAACCTGCGACTTGAACGTGTCGCCAACCACAACTTTCACAGCGCCATCATTCACCGTCGGAACCGGCTGCGACACAGCCTCCACTGCCGGCGAATCAGGGACCTTCAGTTCTACTTTCGCTGTTGCGTGCTGCTGCACAAATGAGGCGAGGCCTTTGGTAGTCCGCTCTCCCATAAACTTGATTGGAGTATCTGATCCTTTCTTGAAGAACCACACAGTCGGGAAACCAGTCACCTTGTACTTCTCGTCCGGCAGTCGGTTGGCCGCGCCGTCCATTTTCGCCACAACCAGTGACTCGCTAGCTGTCTTCGACTCGGCCGCAAGCTTCCCAAACTCTTCGTAGATGGGCTCCAGCTTTTTGCAGTGTCCACACCACGGAGCGTAAACGAGCAGCAGCACGTCCTACACAAAAAGCGGAACAAAACACCACGAATCCTCCTACACAATACGGCCGCTCATTTAATACGCGGCGTGCCTTCGTCTACACAAGTTGCGCGGGCAACAATATTTTGCAGCATTTCGCACTAGCACGAACGGGGCCGAGATATCCCTACAATCCAAACGTGCGCTGCGTGCTTCCGCACATAAACTCCCATTAGTGATCTCCTACCTTTCCTGCATCCAGAACCTGCGACTTGAACGTGTCGCCAACCACAACTTTCACAGCGCCATCATTCACCGTCGGAACCGGCTGCGACACAGCCTCCACTGCCGGCGAATCAGGGACCTTCAGTTCTACTTTCGCTGTTGCGTGCTGCTGCACAAATGAGGCGAGGCCTTTGGTAGTTCGCTCTCCCATAAACTTGATTGGAGTATCTGATCCTTTCTTGAAGAACCACACAGTCGGGAAACCAGTCACCTTGTACTTCTCGTCCGGCAGTCGGTTGGCCGCGCCGTCCATTTTCGCCACAACCAGTGACTCGCTAGCTGTCTTCGACTCGGCCGCAAGCTTCCCAAACTCTTCGTAGATGGGCTCCAGCTTTTTGCAGTGTCCACACCACGGGGCGTAAACGAGTAGCAGCACATCCTGAAGCGCAGAGAAGTCATTCCTGATGCAAGTTGCCTTTTAACGTGTTTCTTGTATGACACTATTGCTTCACTGGGACTGTCATGCAACGCCTTATGGCTTCAGGAAAGGATACGAGCAGAGGGATTTGTGCATTCAACGAATTTAAGGTAGAATCTGTTAACAAATATAAATCATGGGAGCGCTGCGGCACAGTAAAACTACCTTGTCACTGTCAAGCACGCCGGAGTAAAAGGTCTCGGTGTCGATGCTGAGGATAGGAGAGCCAGTCCGTTGCTGAGTGTCTTTCATTAAAGGCAATGAGGATGTGCGCAAATCAGGAGCTTGAACAACAACTCCTTCAAGGCTTTCAGGCTTCGTGGCATGTTGCTTTGAAAAAGACAAGAGCTTTTCTTCCGTCGCACTACCTGAAAAAATTATGGGTTTGGTTTCTCCCTTTCGAATGAACCAAATTGTTGGGTAGTGAGGAACGGGAAATTCCGGATGGCGAATTTCATTTGTAGGCCCATTCATCTTCGCGACGTCTAGCACCGTAGCCGCTGCTGAGCTCGCAGCAACTGAACGTGCGAAGCGAAAGAACGCCGGCTTTATTTTCTTGCAGTAGCCGCACCATGGGGCTGACACCATGAGAAGCACGTCCTGCCACAAAGAGGCAAGCAAATCACTCTCGCATTCCATAACTTAGTGGAAACGAATTGCGAATAAACAATAGACAAAGCTGCATCGGCAGCCACACTTAAAATGGTGTTCTCTTTTGAGGTCACGAAACTGTAGGCCCACCTTGTCCGAGTTTAACACACGCTCATCGAAATTTTTGGCGACAATGCGTTTCACAGGTCCATCCCATTTTTCTGGTATAGGGTCTGAAACTGTTTCTTCAGGCTCAGGTGGAGCGGTGATGCGGTGTTGCGCACTTGATAGCTTTGAATTGATGAATGATACAGCTGCTGATACTGTCAGCTGGCCTTCTAACTGTTCAGGAGTGGCAGAACCTGCTTTCAAGAAGAACAGCTTCGGTCCACTGCCGGCGTGAAGCCACTTGATGGGGTACTGCAAGGAAAATGTCTCCGCAGAGGCAAATAGCAAGTCTGCGCCAGCTGCTTTGTACTGCCGCGCCATGGCTACGATCCCAGGGAGAACACGAGCACTCTTGTTGCAAAATGCTGAGTGAGCAATAACAACCGCGTCCTGAAAAAAGTATACTCACACACACATGTTATTATGAGATCGAAAACAACTGCATAAATCAACGCAGTCCAGCTGCCCAGTTATTCGCTCAATGTATAGATGCCTCTCACACGCTTGAGAGATCAAACGCACCTTGTCCTCCTTGAATAAAACTGATTCTACTGATGTCGGGTGGAGCGGGATTATGGGATAACTTCCTAATCTTGTCAGTACGTCGGGCGAACCGCACGTATTGCGCTTTGGTCGATGTGGTAGGGGTACCCAAATCATGTCCTCTGTAACAGCTGGGGTGCCTTTCTGTCTGGATGCGTAAGCATGTAATGCTTGGTAGTAAAAGCACAGGACACGTTCTGGTAGAAGATTCTGCCTCGCATAGTCTCGAGCTGTTCAAAGAAAACGTACAAAATGCATGGCTGTACTCCATTTCACAAATTGAAAGCTCAAAGGCGGCTTGTGCCGACAACAAAGTGCTTTCTGCCTCTCGCCGGTCAGCAGTTTTGTGCTTCAAGCAAGCAAAGCATCGGAAGCTAATTTTTCAATGGTACACGTAGCACTATGATATTCTGCCTATAGCAATGCACGGTTCCTTCAACAAAAAGCTGGGAAAGTTGACTTGTCTTCAAGCAGGCGAGTGCCGGTGAGTCTTACCGTTGGCAGCAATGCGTTGCGCCTCCTCATCATGCTCCTTTGCCCATTGTAGCTTTGACAGCAAGTCTTCTCCAGTGCCGTCAAATGGGACAAAGTGCTTCCAGGGAGACAGCTCTTTCTGATACCACTCGTAGTAGGGGCTCTCCTGTTTTAGCAATAAACTGCCGCCTGTGAGAAGCAATTAACAGATCCAAGGCTACTTGAGTCCGCCACAGTAAGTTTGTTGGTGTAACAGGGAAGCACTGCAACAGTGTCACTGTATAGGCATTCGAGAATCTTGGCTCGCAGGAACCCAGTGAGCAGGCCATTGAAAGGTGAGCATGAGCGGCTCACTGGCAATAAGATACGGATTTCTGTAGGCAGCAACTGTGCCGTCAAGCAAGAGGATGTACTTGTACTTGGGAAACTCTTGGAGTTGCAGAGACCCCTTTCTGCCAAGTTGCTCTTCAACTTCAAAATTTTCGTCGTTTTCCCAGCTAGTAATAGCTACATCAAGCACATCTGGGTGTTTTGAAGACAGCTGTGCGAGCTGCACTCGAACAGGATTGCTGTCACGTCCACGGAATGCCGCTCGGGGATCTTTAGTGTTCCACTTACGGGTGCCCCAACCCTGCGTACAAAGCAAAAATGCCGCCAAATAGGAGCTCAGTCACGACTGTAGCGCAGTTCCGTCACGCACAAGAGCTGCTAAAGCGACGCATGCAGTAACGTTGGATTCGTGTTTATATAACATCCCTGTGGGAAGTGCGGCCAGTTAAGCACAGTAACACCGAGCAAAGCTGGTTGTGCGAGGTCCACGCCGCCCCTAATCCTGATTGTGCAACGATTTGCCTCATCCCCCGTCGTTCTGCTGCCTCCATACCTGAGAAGCCAGAAGATCCGGGCTAGAAGCCGCGTTCCCAAGGACCGTTGAGCGCGTAACGTCCCACTGGGGAAGTACTATATCGAATGAGTCAGTAGACCCGCACCACGAGAACACTGGTACCCTGCTGTCACCCCAACTTTTTGCGACGAGAGGCCAATCACCTACATTCATTACAAACTCAACGTCTGTGCAGGACACAAAAAGAAGCGCGATGGCGGTCAAGCAGGGTGCCCGTCTATGCTGAATGCATTGTCATTGTCCCTTCAATTTGACCAATACATAAGCAGGCAAATTAAAGGTGGAACGGGAAGAAGAGCACACCGACCTCTCAGCTCTCTAACGGCCCTTTAGACGGTGGCCATGGGCTGCCGACCTACTAATTATGTTAGCGCCGCGGTCACTGACCTGGTAACTTGACAGTGGCACTCAATTGGTGAAGGATCATGTCAGAAAAATACGAAAATGCTGGGAAAGGTCCGTGAACCTTCCTAAAGATTTGGTTGTCCTTGATTACGTAATGCAGGAAAGAGGTTGCAGAGCTTTTTTCCAGCAGCTTGGGGATAGCAGCCCGTAGTTTGGCCAAATCGATCGTCACGAAGTTCTCCAAATCCTTCACAAGAGATACATAAAGCTAAAATGCTTGAAACACTGCACGGACCTGCACATCTGATCGAAGTTCGTTGTGAATCTGCTCTCAAGTTCCTTCATCTCGAGTCTACTCTGTGATTGCGCTCATATTCGACAGCATCTTTTAGCTCTGTTAAATTGCATGCTTGATACATTACGCAAGCAAGCGCATCTAACTGCATGATGGCTCACTTCTTCCAGCTGGGGAAAGCTGCGTGGGCAACCCATAGCTTTGGTCCACGTAGATGAATTTACGGGGTCAAAGCAGCTTGGTTCATGGAGAGGGCCCTGTATAGATACTTCTACTGGCTCGATTGCAAAGTTCGTTCGACGGCCACCATAGGTAACCCTCAAGCGCAGCTCGTGGCCGCTCGGTATTCCTTCCCTTACTCGATATGCTACTTCATATTCGCCGTTACCTATGTCGTACACCTCATATCCAACAGGTGGACCAGACTGTCCTGGGATATGCGGCACAGTTTGCCAACTGAGACGGATGTTGTTAGCCTTGAACCCAGAAGGCACCTCCTGGTGACCCTTGGCATTTCGCACCACAACGCGGAAGTGGCGAGATGGAGAAGGGAATTCAGGATTTAAGCCAGGCCCCCCGGCTATTTCAAATGTGTATCTCAGAAGCCGCGGACGATAGAAGAAACCCAAGTAGACCGCCACAATAACAACGGCGCTCCAAGCCCACTTCGAAGTTGCCACGCTGGCCCAGCGTCGCAAGGTGGAACTGCGACGCCGAGCAGCAGCATGAGCAGGGGCTGCTTTCGCTGCCTTGGACTGCAGCGATGAGGCAGCCAGTTGCCCCGTTTCTCCCTTTGCCATTTTATGGTGCCAGTCCTTTCCACATGTAGCAGATAGCGTGCAAAACGAATTCAACAGGGCCTCATCACTCTGCGCTGCCTTTTCTGACTTTCCCCCCTCTCCAGATAATGAAGAAAGTCTGCGTAGCTCTTTGTGGGAAGCGGGTTTCGTTCGGCTTGGGAACTGGAACAGGCGTGGTCGAACCGACTTGTTCGGGTGAGCACAGGCCAACCGTCAACGGCTTCTACACAGACCGTTTTTCCGTGTCAGTTGAGTATGGTAAATTCTGTCTAAGATCTAAGACAACGCAAAATTGTCAAGTTCGCTTTCCACGAAACCCTTTCAGAGGACAGCCGATCAGAGCAACCCAAGCTGTCGGCAGCCGTTGGGCACCTCCCTTTTGGACTACATCAAGCGAAGCACACGCTTTAAAAAAGCCCACGAGCTCTTAAAAAATGAAAAGGTTCTCGGTGTAGCTACAAGAAGGACGCTGTGCTTAACAGGCAGCGGTGATCAGCTAGCTTGAAGCTGCTGCTCCAGCCGCCGACGGCTCCAGCACAGTGGACCAAGGACAGTGCAGCTAATGTTGGGGGAGGGCGATGCTGATGACTCCAACAAATTACGTCGTTTGCAAGCCTTTGTATTGTCTGGTGTCGTCAAAAGCCTGTGCAAAGTAAGAATCTTCGTTAACTTGCCAATCACGAATAATCGACCCACAGCTACTACACAAGGATTAAGTTGGGAGCATGACGATGAAGAATAAGAGCATGACTTTCGGATGACCCGATGCATGTTGAACTGTATATAATCTGTATATGGCGCATAGGAGCACAAATGTCTACAAGTGCGCTATGCATGGCCAAAATATGTATGCTACCGGACGGCAGACATGGGTAGGAAGTGCCCCCCGCTTGTTTGCGCAGCAGCTTTCTTTTCTTCTCCGTCATACTGTGAATCTAGTGGCTCTACACATATATATGAGCGTGGCATTGGTAACCAAAGCTAAGTCATACAAGACAACTGCGCCCGCTGCTGCATCGGATGAAACGCTGCAACGTAATGTATGGTCCTTAGCCGTAGCTTGGCATATCCATGGCTTCGAGCAGCTGTTAGGAACTGAGCCAAAGAGTTGCGGTTACTCGTCTAAATAGTAAATCACAAGACTGGCGCACTCTTCGGTATCCATCGGCCGCATGAGGTGCCAACTAAAACGTTTGTGCGATGGTGGGGTGAATCCACTTCACCCTAATACCTGTCTTGCGCTTTCTGCACACGGAGCAGGACGTTCACGGAGCCTAAGCGGCTGAAGGCACCATGGGCACGAAAAAGAGTAAAATTAAAGGCCCCTGTGGTGGCACTGCTGTTTCTAGTTTCGGGGCCTCCAAAATTCAGAGGTTAGGACGGTCACGCTGCGAAACCGAGCCTTCTCCCACTATCTTGAGAGTTTAATCGCGGACACTGAATCTATTTTTCCATGATCTGAATACAGCTAAACGGTTGGTCTGCTTTGCTCAAATGTTGGCAACTAAAGAGTCTTTTAAGTCAAGTTGTTGAAAAATCTTCTCCAAACACTAACCGGGCGGAGTTCATACACCAGAGCTGTACGTCCATCCTTGAGGACCTTCTCAGACTGCTTGAGCTCCACCTGGCGCGACTCTATAAGGTATTTGTACACGCCCTGCAGCCAACACCACACATTTGAAGAAGTACAAAAAGCAAACAAACACTTTCCACGGGTCGTAATGCCTCCAAAGAATGAAAGAGATCCTCAGAATGCCTCCGCGATTTTGAGACAATGCAGAGTTCAGCAGCAATGGCTCATAAACTTGTAATTGCCTCTGTTAGCTAAAATATGTAGCTGTAAAAACTCGTGGACTCTTCGCTCTAAAAACATCTCACACCTAGGGCGTCATAAAGGTCAAACTAGGAGACTGGCATGAGAGCATGCGTGCGAGTAGTGGATGTCCTTACATAGATGTTTGGCTGTACAAGGCGTACGGCAAAGGGCTGCAAACTTCCACGGCGCCGCCTTGGTAGAGGCCGCCCATACCATTTCGTGGGTTCCCACGAGCCTCCTGGTTTGCTTCGCCCTACGGCGGGTAGCAACCCAACGATCTGCAGTAGCAGCTGTTGCTGCAAGCGCTCAGGCCCTCTGACTTCCGAGCTCTGTGAATGCTGTGAATGGGATGGAGATTGTGGACGGAAGCCCCACTCTACAGATGTTGCCACCGCTGAAATAGCTGCCGCATCGTCTGTTGACAGGGGGGGAAGTAGTGAAGCCACAGGTGTCTTCCCAGAGGCAGCCACTGCAAATGATCTCTTGACAGAAGGTGACAACACAGCCGCGCCTGTGCATAAGAAACTGCAGCAGAAGACGCCGACAACGATCAGCAGCGCCTGCCCACAGTATTTAGGGCCATAGAGGCCGCCCATCGCTCACGTAGCCTGATGGAGTCTGGGATCAAACGCTCCCGAAGTGGTCTTTGCGGATTTTCAGCAGGATTCAGTGGAGGGCGATTTCGGCCTTGTACATGACAGGCAAATGACAAATCAACAGCCACACGGAAGACGATGAAGCCTACAGGGACGCGAGAACAGGAGACTCCTACCAGATGCGAGGTGTCTGCTCTCTATGCGGCTAATTAATAATAAATGGACTTCATATACATATAAAGTGTGCAGTCTGCTCTCAGCAATACGGTCATCTTTTGCAAAGCTTAGGGCTGTGGCTTGTCGAAGGTGGTGCTTTGAGAAATCCTGAGCAAGACTCAGTTGAAATGATCCCGCACACCTTCCATTACACTTTATACGGATTTCCTATTAAGGGGGGTGCTACGGTTGACTTGCCTAGGGAATTTTGAAAATTGGTAGAGGTGCAGCTTCGAAACGGCGTGGCAGCCTGGGCCCTCAGGGCGAGGCGCAAACAATCTGCGCTGCCAGTCGTTTACTCCCTGATCACTCGTCCTCTTAGCATCAGAAAAAATCATGAAAAAGGGATTGTGGCCCGCTGTCGCCTGTTCTGCTGCTCAAGCTACCCAGTGAGCCTCTCCACAGAGTTTTTGCTGATCACTAACACAGCCTAGCAGCAGCAGGCCATCGATATATAATCAGAATAGCAGTAAGCATCAGCTACTGAACATGATCTAGTTGGCGACGCCTTCGTCAGCGGCAGCAGAGACTGTTATGAAGCTTCCCGTCTCTCCGGGGGTTGTCCCCTACTGCCCGATTGGGCGCTCGCCCGTTAGCTATCCCATGAATTTATGGCATTCTCGGCCAAGACGACTTGTACAGCACTGCGTGCAGCTCCGCGAGTTCCCTGCACAGTATCCGCAGCAACCTTGTTTGAATGTATGGCCAATAGCCTGTTTTATAACAAGACAATGCGGAGCCCGAGAAAGCTCCCGATTTTTCTCCTCCCAATTTGCAGCAGCAACAGCATCAACGGCACAAACAGCATCAGAAGAGGCTGCTCAGACCTCTTCTGTTCACGGCGCTGTCCCGAAGAGCCGCCGAGGGATAAGTTGGCCTGCAAGAGTTAGCAGACGTCTCACATTTTACCTCTACAACATGGAGAAGGAAGACTGGATTCTGCTCTGCATCTCCCTAGGCTGGTGTGGCATATTTGCAGGAGCTGCCGCCTTCAATGCATGGTGGGCGAGGCGGCTGTACCGCAGATCGCAGGCGCTGTAGAGGCAGTACATAGGCCTTCTTTCGCGCATTTTGAAGCCGCAGAACGGGAATGCCATGGTCCTTTTACTCTGTTTGCTGTGCAGGCGAGCGTCAACGCGGGAAGAAAGGCATCCTTACATCAAAGATGCGATATCCACCCTAAAGGCATGGCATTTAGCTGTTCTCTGCCCGCCTTCAGTGCATACTTGTGTACATGCGTGTTTGCAAGTGATTACAAGGGCATATTTGCACATACTGTGCGCGTGCAAATTGTACAGCTATCTGTGGATAGAAAGTCCTCATTAAAGGCTAGCGGCAGCGCATGGATTTGGCCACAAGAACGCTGCGGCGAGCACTTATCTAATGCTTGCATCTGCGAATGAAGCACTTCAGCCACTTCGAAATACACTGTTTAGCCACATGCAGGTCCCTCTGTCTTCCTTTTGATTATTTTCAAGCCAACAACGAAGTGAAATCGCTGTGTAATCTGGGCGCAGTGCAATAAGGCCGTCGTGGAATATGTGGGGGAGCCTTTTGAGGTGAAGATCACGGAAGAGCACAGCGAAACTTTTGCACCATGGAAGCGACTGGTGCTGAAGTTGAAGGGCCCTAAGAGGTCTACACAGGTATTCCAAGTGCTTTACCAACAAGCGCAAACCCCTGCCTTCTAATACTTGCGAACTGGATTCCGCATTTCTCCAGTTCCCGTTTTTGCCTTTAAGGGACCTAGCATGAGGCTTTCACTATGTTGAGGTTTTTCACAGGCATTTGTCTGCGCACAGCGCGATGGGTACAGCGAGCATGAACTGATTGATAAAGTTGTGCGTTTTTCCCTGTTGAGGCAGTATCAGCCGTCTGCTTATGGCTACTAGCAAAAACATCGGCAATCTTGGACAAAGTGTTTGGATCATGTCTTATTCTGCTTGATCTTCTGCGGGTTCCCTGCACCAAGTAAAATTTGTTAAACTAACCAACAGGAAAGCTGTGAATGGCCCGTGAAGCGGCCAGAGTGGAACCATAGAAGAACACGTAATCATGGGATATTTTCAGATTCCATTTTCTGCGTAGGACGAAGAAGAAGGGTCGTTGTGGACTCGGCCTTACCTGCTTAAACAGTGGCTGGTCAATGCAATCAGCGATGCATGGGACGTTATGCGGGTGCTATCGGCACCCAAAGGGACAGAAGGCAGGTACAGCACCGACGGGATAGGGCACTGGAAAGTGATGTCTTTGTTCGTGTTGGCCCCTCAAGACCAGCTTCCGGAGAGTTCAGGCTGCCCGAAGGGAACACCTTCCGTTATTTCCTGCAAGGGTAGCCCTGAGGACAACCCAGATTGGTGTAAGCCTGTTCACTACTTTACTGAGTGGTACTGCAGAAGTCTAAATTAAGCCTTCCAAAATGGGACAGAGCTCCTTGTAGCATCCTGATAGGTCTGATACCATGCCAAGGCGCAACGTGAGCGCTTAAATTTGGGTACCCTTTCCCTAATTAACCAACTACTTTCACGTCAAATCTGCGTCGCCATGCATGTCCGCTATTCAGACCGCTTGATTGCGCCAGAGCAGAACACGGAGAGACTCTTCTCCCACTGGATCGCGAATTCGTGCCTGTTGCTCCTGTGTGCGTATTCAATGAGGCGGGCTCGGAAAGAATGGAAGATGGCCGCTCAACGGGTAAGTTTTCGTTGGTACTTGATAGATTTAGGAGCTCTACTTGTAACTCACACAGCCCGCAGTACAATGGCCCGGCTGCCTGCAATTTTAGCCTGCGCTCTCGGCGTGTTCGGCGTGTTCGCTGTCTCAAGCCGCGGCCCGAATCTTAGGCCCTCATGTCTCGCCATCCCTTGCGTGCAGCTTTCTTCTCTTCGATTCGTCAGCCATTTCACTAAGGTGCGTACGGCACAGCGTTGCTCTGCAGTAAGGGCTACGTCGTTTAGGTGGCAACCACGAGCTACAGCAAACCTGAAAAGCTGCCACCTTTTGCAGTTTTTGCAGAGCTGGCAAATAGAGCAGACAATGCTAAAAAACTGCAGTATTAATATGCGTTTTGGGGTGACAACTAAGTCGTATAGGCATCTGCCTACAGTCAGTTTGGAGCCAACTGCCACTCTGGAGAAACCACTCTTCAAGTGAGGCCCAGTTCGCTTGCAAGCTGTGGGCTGACGTGCAGCACCACCGAGACCTGCAGCTACTGACTACCCGCCAGCTACAAGACGCCGTTCGGAGAAGCCAATCACGAGACACTTCAGACTGTGTCACGGCCGGCGACAAACATGGCAAGGCTCCCCAGGTGCACCTACGATACTTCACGGGGCAGCTTTCGCATGAAGCTATAAACGGCGTGGCTCATCTTGAGATCCGTAGCCGTGACGACACAGGAGGTGATCCTGACATTGCCGACATGCTGCAGTGCGAGTTGGTAAGGCTGGTAATTTGCTGCAGGGTCGCCGACAGCTCGCAGCCCCCTGCATCAAGGGCAGCAAATAGTTGAGCGGCGCTCTTGACGTGCGTGCTGCTGTGAACAGCGACTGCAGGCTCACCGCCCTTCTCCGTCAGATCCTTATATTGCGCTCGAGTAAGCAGCCCTGCTAGGGCGCTGTGCCTCCCAGAGATGACCGCTGAAAGGCGCTTGCGGCCAGGTAACAGCCTGCAGCACACCGTTTTACTGCGTAATTGTACGGCGTTACCTTCCGCAGGAGCACTCTGTCGCTGATTCAGGAGCCACGAGACGCCGCAGACCCGCCATTCCCCGTTGTGCGCACTTACGCCTTAGACCCCAAGGCACTGACTGTGCCTGCCGAGGCGTAAGTGAAACGCAAGCCATATATCTGCATTGTGCAGATACGAGTTGGCCCGGCCTCCCTGTGCTGTCAGAATGGCTAGCTATAACAAATGGCAAGGACGAAGATGCGCAGCTGGGCCACCGCAGACGCCTCAGAAACCCCCCCCCCCCTCCGAAAAGCAGTGGGCGTCGTCATAATTAACATGCGATGGAGCAGTTCGAGAAGTAGCTCAAACGTCAACTCGGAGTTTATCTGCGATGTCGATGTGGGAAACCATCTGAAGCGCACCTCACACAGGCTACTTTTTGACAAATTCTTCCGAACCCAATGAATTTTCCACTGGACTTTACTTTCGGTTGTCCATACCTCTCTAAATTCTTCAAACGAAATCATTCCGTCCCCGTCCTTGTCCGCCTGCACAATTGTTCGGTCCACCAGCTGCTGCAGCTGTAGCACAAACAGAATTCCAACAATACACCCACCTGGAAAGGCAAATCCTACAACAAATAGACTACAATATTGACTTATCCAGCCTCATTCGGTGCACCTAACTCTGTGTGAACCGGATCGCTGTGCAAACAGCGCCTGCTGCAGAAACTTTAGGAGACTCGGCAAGCCTCCACCTCAAGGTAGACACCGACAACGAAGCAACAAGCCGCCAACCAATGGCTAGAGCTGGCGAGTCTAAATCCAAATTAAAAGCATATCTGCCATGCATTGCCACAGTGGTGGGCAGACCATCACGTCTTCGCGAGCCAAAGCCCTCACTCAACTCCACGCCCCTTGTGGCTGATGCCCACCTGCTGGTCGTTAAGGTTGTTTCCCACCATCATTTTCATAACGGCAAAGAGCTCTCCGTTGCTTATGTGCCCGTCTTTGTTGATGTCGTAGACATCAAATGCAAACTTAGTCTTTTGCATCTCGTCCGTGCCAGCTGCCAACTTCGATAAACCCACAAGAAACTCTATGAACGAAACTCGGCCATCGCCATTAGTGTCAAATATAGACAGCACGCGCTTCACCAACGGGTTCTAAAGAAACAGAAGCGCAACACACGCAACAGTGTTTAGGCAGCTCAGCAGTGGCAAGCTTTTGCATGCAATGACGATCCACGGGAGCCCCTTTGGAGCCAAAATAGTTACATTTACGTGCGGTTCCCGAAAAGGGTGAAAACTGCACGACTAACTGCGTTTATGAACGCACATCTGCGATCTCGGGAACTTCAAACAGCTCGTGGGGGTCCAGCTCGCCGTTCTGGTTCGTGTCCAGCGCACGAAAGCGCTTATAGAGTTTCTTAATATCGCGCTCACTGAAGTTTGCGGCTTGGACGAGGTCTTTTTGCTCTTGAGGGGTCAGCTGGCCCTGTGCGTTGCTGCGAGGAAGCCACACACCGCGAACACCACTGCAAATGACCTGGAGTCTTATACGTTATTGCAGCTTACTACCACCACAGGCGAGCTGTAAATGCGTCAAGCAATAAGTGTTGTTCTTTAAGGGCTGCTCTCGCGAAGAGCGCAGATCACAACGCACCCCATGGTTGCGAGCCAGTCAATGAGTGCACAAAGATGAGAGGCACTGCCCAGCTGTAACAGCGGCCGCTGAGGACCCTCGGGACCGCTGATGCCGCGCTCTTGCCGTTTCTATCAGCGCACACAGAAGTCTTAAAAGTTCCCGTCTATGTGCTCGACAAAGTGTGTCCTGCCGAGACTCGCTGGCGCAGTTGCCCCAGGCGCAGAGCTCCAGCGGTGTGCTTGGCTGCCTAGCCTGGAATCTGCTGCCTCACACCACGTTTAGAATCCGGCAGTGAAGCCCTGCAGCTCCTGCGCGCGGAATTTTTGGCAGATCAGCCGCAGCGGGGCCAAGGAGTGAAGAAGTGTGGCTTGGTAGTGGGCGCGCGTCAGACAGCGCCTGCAGCCCAAACGTAGCCGAAGGGCAGCGCGACAGAGGATTTGAACAAAGTTGGTATGCTTTCAATCACGAGAGGAGGACAGCGAGTCAGCCCTAATGAGCCCCGGCTCAATACGCCTGCGCATGCGTAAAGCAGACACTACTGAAATTTACCCGCGTTGCCTGTGCTGCCGGCTCCGTCCCCAAGCAGAGGAGTTAAAGATCTTTAAATAAGTATAGTCGGTGCCCGAAGAAATGGCGTACACTCGCCTGTAAGGAGCTTTACTCGCCACTCAGTCCTGCGTAGGACGCCTTGATTGATTGAAGACGGGTAGCGCAACGATCATCAACGAGACAAATGTCAAGGTGTGAAATGCGCGGTCTATATACAGCAGAACCAAATAAGCATATTCAAGTCTAGATAATATCTAACAACGATGAAAGCAGCAGCTGCAGCCACTTCACGCAGCGCCACACCAGCACATACAAGAGGCAGCGATGAGCACTGGGTGTCCCATTCCGTGCCCGGGGGAAACTTAGCAGGAGTTTCACTGAATAATTTATCTTCATATCACAGTTTATACTTTACTTTTACCGGGCATATTTCACGCAAAATTTGGCCCCATGGCCTCTACTCCGTCCAGAACAACGTCCCAGTGGACAACTGCTGCGCGGCCCACCCGCTCACACTGCATTCCATCCCTTCCGCGAGCTAGCTTTAGATAACTCTACCAAGAAAAAAGTGAGTGGGAATGCTACGTGACACCCAGTGCGTAGTATGGTGACAGGGGCACAATCGCACCACAGGGACGTTCCACAGCGAGGCGAAACTTATCATATCACTTCGAGCAACAGAGATATCGTAACAGATGGCATTCAGAGCATCGTCACTTTGAATTTATAGCACTTAGAAAGTATGGTGGGCTCGAATTTCCACCACCATGACGTTTTCCCTCGTGCATGTTCAGCAGAAGTATCTACCAGCAGTGTAGAGCGAGTATTTTGCAACACTTTGGGACAATACGTCCCCAGATATGCTTGCAGAGGTGTGCGTAAGTCTTGAACTGCCCAGTGTGCAGCACATTCACGCCATGTAAGCCAAGTAGACGCTTCACTTCCTTCCTCAGCAGCGTCTACAATTGGAGTGGATTCTGAACCACAAGTCCACGCAACACTGCTGCAGCAAATGACATGGTTTGGCCCCAAAACAACTCCCAGAAACTATAACTACGCTCGTACTGAGCAAAACAGTAAGACGTTGGCAAGTGTGCAATTAAAGGGCAGCAGTTCAATTTGAGGTGTTCAAGAGGCTGCTTGAGATTCTATGCAGCTAGTCGCGGGTCTCGCAGCTGAAAGAGCTACCCAAGGATCGATGCAAACGGCACCTCAACCTAAACGGCTCTTCGCAGATGCCGCGGGCACACTCCCACGAATGCATGAACTTCACTTGCAAGCCGCTGAGCACACGAGCGAAAATTGCCGTAAGGTTACTCTGTGGTCTCTTTTTGGCTTAGGGCGATATATGATTGTAAAAGAAAAGCTTGAAATTCAGCTGAGATATATGAGTGTCGGCGCTGAGGCCTCCAAGTGAAGGCCTCAACCTTTTCCCGTGCGCCTTTCGCTAGCGTATTCCCAGCACCTTCTTGGTTTTGCGTCCTCGATAGAACGAAATCGCAGCAAAGATGTTAATTCCCTGTACTCTGCATATAATGCATGCACTGCCGCGAGGTGTTTCGCCGCGACAATCAGACTGTCAGTGTTTGCGTGGCAACTTTAACCGACAGCCTTCACTAGTCGCAGCGCAGAGCACCCAAACATATCCACCCCGAAGACTACAGCCTTGGCCCGCATCTGCATGCGTTACTGCTATTAACTCCCTTTAAGAGGAGCTAAGCTCAAATAAAGCAGCAAATACGGAGGCAAGTAGTCTTCCACTTTAACCTCAGCCACGGCGCTGCGGCTGCGGGAGATCACGGAGCGTCATCATCCTGTTTGAGGGAGGCGGCCTCCGGGAAGAAGTGCTTCGTCCTCTGTTGTTGTTATTATTGTTATCGGGGCCATTGTTGCTGTCACTGCCTCCCCCCCAACCGAACTTCTGCCAAAACCAACCACCGCCCGACTGGTTCTGGCCTGACTCGTTCTCGTTCCCCGCAGCAGAGGGTCGTGCGGCTGCTGAAGACCCCCCAGCCCCTCTCTGTCTGTACCTCTCCTGCTGCTCTCGTCTAATTGCCTCCAACTCCGCCTCTGGATCCTGCCGGCGGGCAGCTGTGGACTGGCTTTGCCTGTGACCCGCATAGCACAAGTCCGCAAGTGACACAGGCACTGATTATGCATGCCCACGCCTACAAATGCCACGCACAATATCAGGAAAAGATGCATCGGGATGCGACAAATAAAACAGATGATAAAGTTGCGCAGAAGAAGCAGCCCACCTCGATACAAGCGGGTGAGCGGATGACTGGCCAGTGCCTTGGCCGTCAGTCAGATTTCCCGCTGATTGCCGGCCAGCCGATGCTGGAGAAGTCAATGAAGAGGCTGGCGGTAAGCCCGAGTTTTGCTCCTCTGGAATGCTACTAAATACTGCCTCTATAAGCTGCGCGTTGCTGGCCAAGTCGTCAATACTGACATTGTCCTCTAATACAATGTACTCTTGAGGGGCGCCATTCTGAACGTGAGGAGGCCTCCCCACCCTCTGACGAAATCCAAGGGCTTTGAGAAGCTCGAGGAAAAAAGGGCTGACGTTCAACACTTTTTCTCGCAGAGCTGACCCGCTGTTTGCCTTCACCCATTTGAACTTGGCAAGATTTGGGTCCTCCTCTTGAGCAGCCTTGACGATACTGCACAGACAACAACGCAACGCAACATGCTCTGTGATACACGCAGCCTATAGTCAGGTGAGCGCCCAGAGTCCGCAGAAGCGTCTGCTTCGTGCATTCAGGTTCCTCACTTATTTACGATTTTAAGCACCAACTCGTACGCCTTCCTTTTAGCTGCATCGCTGATCGGGGCGTCAGCGATTCCACTCAAGATAGTCTCCATTGTTAAGGTTTGCTTAATTCATCCCATGTTTCCAATGTAGCGGAACTCCGCAGTGGGTATCTTGTCAACCACCCATGGACTCAGCTTGCGAGAATCTGCGGCACTGCCTACCCGCCTCTACAAAGCTGGATAGATTTCACAAAAAAAGAAATGTACAAAAAGTCGTGACCAAATACGAAGAAGCTCTCCACTCTTGTGTGTTGGCTTCTGCACACTGCATCCAGCCACGCTTCTCATGCAGCTGGTTGCCCAGAAGAGTCCGTCCACGATGCATGCATCGCTTGTAAGGGCTGCGGAAATGAACATTGGCAGATCAGTAATAGCATAATGGCACAGCTGCATTTCACTCTATATGTTATAGCATAAGAAGCCAGTCGCTCATGAAGGGCCCTGAGCGGCTGCCCTGTGCCAAATTTAAGGTAACCTGGATCAGTGAGCTTCTGCCACAGGTTTTCAGATCGTCGTCCTGCCGCCGGCAATTTTTCGTTTTCAGCATTTGATCGTTCTTATTTCTCACTAAGGACCACTGCTTTCGAGCTCACTTGATGCTGGGATGGCGATTTATGTCTAGTTAGTTTTCAAGTCAACTTCATCTAGCTGTTTGCTTTGTAGGATGTCTTGAGACGTGATGCACGAAGTGAGAAAACGCTTGTCTCCCAACATTTATTGAAGAAACGGGCAAAAGCAGCTACAGCAGGCAACACTGCCTGGCTGGCTAACTTTTCTCTCGTGGAGATGGCCTTGAGCTATGAGATTCCAGTGCCAGTGCCAACCGCCCAAAGAAACTGTGGAACTGAGCATTCTGTAGCGTTTGAAGATCTGGTTTCTTGTTTTAGGTAGTGTACTGGCCAAGTAGAATAAAGATGGCGTCCGCCGCGCCAAGCCCTCCGCTGCGACTAGTGTTTCGAACTCTCAGCTTGCACTCACTGCTCTGCAACGAGGTTCTCTTTAGAGTTCGTTTTATCCCTCTATTTGCTGCTGGTTACTCTGGAAGTAGCTGCTCAACCTGCTAGCGTCTGACACGAGGTGCAGGCCAGCAGCCTCCAACTGCCAGCCCGTAGCAGGCCATTTGCCTATCGCAGGTAGCAGTTTCTTAAGTTGAGCTCTCCGCTTTATTAACGTTTTGAGGGATTTAATCGCCCAAAGACTCAAGAATGTGTTTGGGGTTTCCTCTCGTGCGTTGGGGGAAAAAATTTCTGGTGTGTGGAGTAGCTCGCGGAAGGCCACAATGCGTCGGCGAATCTGTTTAGTCTTATACAAAAGAGGAAGTCTTTTTATTATAGTTTGAAGGAGTTTCACCACGTGGAGGGTGTTCAGGCAAAAGCTGTTTCGCTGTTTGCGCTGTGGCCGTAGCGGCGCAGGGGAGCCTGGAAGGTGTGCGGGAGTCGTTGACTGTTGGGGCGTTTTGCAAATCCTGAAGTGACATTTCCCTGAGCCGGAGTGGCTGCTGTCAGTGAAAAGCGGCTCACCAATGCGGGCCCGCCCGTGGTCGAAGACGGCGTAGAGCTTTCGCAAGAAGACGTTTCCCAAGACCTGAATTCCAGAGAATGAGTTGAAGTGGCAGCAGCGAGCGCTGCGCTGTGGACGCACAAACGTGTGGCCCTGGCCAGGGGGCAGCTGCAGAGGCATGAAGGCCACGGGGCAGTCAGGGGAAGGGCCAACGGAGCGGGAGGGGTCGAAGTACTCGGGAGGGTCCAGTGCGAACTCAGTGGGGTCTTCGCCGGGAAAAGGCGCCAGGAGGAAGGAAAGGCGTTTCATTTCGGACTTTTCCGTCGAATTGCAAAAAGAAAAAGCCCCAATCCTGTTCAAAAGCTGCTCCGCAAACTCCCCCGAAACCCCGACCCCCGCAGTGCCCGAGTCCACCACTGCGCTGCAGGGAGCCTGAGGGCTGCACAGCCCCAGGCTGGCCTCGTCCACGCGCACGTCCCACAGCCCCAGCTCCCAGCGACTCTGCGAGATGAGGGGAAACCAGGCAATCTTGGCTTCTGGATAGAAGTGGCTGGGGGCGGAAACAGCGTTTTCAGCCCAAGTCTGCAGCCCGAGGCACTCGCATGCATGCACGCAACTCACTGGGAATTGAACCCCCCAAAAGTTATTTCCCCTTCTGAAAGCAAGTCCGCGGGAAGAGCCAACGAGAACACGGGCTCGCGGATGAAACCCCGCGAGGCCATTTCCTGCGCCAGCGAAAGGCCCCCTTCCGCACTCGGAAATCCTGAAATTCAATTTCCTCTTCTTGTTCAGGACAAATTGAAAGAACGCCGAGAAATACCGAGGCCGACAATGCCGTCAAAGGCTGCAACAAATATAACTAACTCAACTACTTCTGACGGACACTTTGCTGCTCACGAAGCTCAGAAAACGGATGCTCCGGCTGTCGGATCACTGCGCCAAACTCGCGGCTGGGAATCCTGCAGAAAATTGAGCAGCAGTTCATTAGCCCTTTTGGCTTTTCTGCTGTCTCCGACTTGAGTGAATTTAGACTTGCGTGATGTTCCGCAGATGCAAAGAGTCTTTGCAAGTGAAAGAGTCCACGGAGCCGGAGGCGTAGGTCACCCGCTTGGCTTCCTGCACCTGCAAGTTGCCGGCGAACACTTTTCTGAAAGTCTCAGACATGTCAGGGTTGAACCGCCGGTGCTGCAAACAAGAAGCTGCAGCGCAGCCCGTCGAGGGAACCCATGTATGGGCGCTGCCTGCAGCAGGAGGGCTTGGGAAACGCAAGAAGCGGGGGCTGTCTGCACACTCACCAGTGTCGAAGAGAACCCGGAAAGCTTGGGGCGGCGTCCCTATCGCAATGTACCCAAAGAACCTAAACAGTTGAATTATAAAAAACGCCACAGTTCTGGGAAGATAGGAACGAACTCACTGCAGACTGCCGTCAGTTGCAAGCGGCACTGAAACAACCTGCGAATCTGAATCCGGTTCATCAGGCAGATCGGATTCACGAAAGGCTTCTGCGGGTGAGAATCGCACGTTGCTGTGCGCATTTAATAATCAACTTGCGTACTTGAAAGGTCTCTTTGGTGCTTTCGCAGTGGCAGACGCCCAAACGCTCTAGTCGGTAATGCAACAGTGGCGCCAAATAACAGCATCAGGAGCCGCCGCACGCCGGCCCGCTCCATGCCTCAGCTCACGGAGTTGGGCAGCAGGGTTTTCAAATTTTGGGGGATATATGTTTGCACTCAATCGCAGAGGTCTCTGGAACGTGCCACCTTGCGTTCACTCAGGAAACGCACCGCTCGAAATGTGTGCCTCTGGGCTGTACAGACGATTCACGTGGACATCAATCTTTTTGCGGTTTTTCATTTGATATCACGAGATCTGATCGGCACGCGAATAAGCCAATGTGCCCTGTGAAGACGAGCAAACTTGGATGAAACGCGGCGGCAATGTCGCTCAAAACGTGCATTGAACCTGCCTCGACATGCTCTTGCAGTATTTCTAGCTAGTAGTATTTCATGAAAAAATCTTGCTTAAGAGCGTTGGGCTCTTTGAAGCAACTGTATACTCCACAGGAACGAATTATATTAAAATGCACGAAGCCATTACCTAGCTCTTGTGGTTACCGGCACCCGTTGCCTCATTTCCAGCAAATACCACGCGTAATTGATTTCTTCAAGAATATATGATAGCAGATGCAGCTATGAGCGGCTAAAAACTACAAACAACACAGCAATGCATGGAGTCGAAGGGGAGCCGTGTCGGCGGCAGGGTCGCGGCGTGTACGTTGAGCTGACGCTCATAATTCAGCAATTTAATGCACTAATTACAAAACGACAATCTTGGTTTGCTGCACTATTGCAATGTTTTCTCTGTGGGAAAACGCAGTCTCTGCAGCAGGCCTTCGCCGGGTTGTGGGTTGGCTATCGATGCAGCAGCGCGTTGTATCTGCCCTTCTGTAGGCATTCCTGCTCGTGGGTCTTCACCAGTGGTTTAAAAGAACCAATTCAGGTACACTTTATATTAATCAGGAAGGCTGAAAGGCCAGAGCAACGCAGAGGGCCCCCTCGCGCTGCAAATCAAATGGGGGTACCCTGAAATCGACTTCCGGTTTTCCTCGCAGTGTCCCCTGCAGGAGAATGAAGGAACAGATCAAATAGAAAGCCACAGAACAAACGTATCTAGTGCTTTCCCACTGCCCCCCTCTGCATTTCCGTGCAAAGACACAGGCGCAGCTGTCTGTCTCCAGCCCTAACAGCACAGTCCCTTCATTCCGTAGGAACAAGGGGCTACCTGCGGCCCCGTAGCCTTCTGGGGCTGTCTTCTCGCTGTGTGACACCAAAGCCCGCCATGGCAGCAGCAACAGCAGCGGCTGCTGCTGCAGCAACAGGGGAGGAGCCCCTGCGGTACCCGTGGCTGCCGGCGGACCAGCAGCGGCTGCCGGCCACCATGGCCTCCGCCTCTATGGCGGGTTTGCTGTCGCGGCTTGTGATGCATCCGCTGGACACTGCGAAGGCAGTCATTCAAGTCCAGACGAAGACTCTGGGGACTCAAAGGTGGAAACTAAGCGGCTCAAAGACAGCACTGACACTCTCCTCGATCTGGAAAGCTGATGGCGTCGCTGGGCTCTACAGAGGGTTTGCGTAAGCAAAAAAACCGCAGCCATTTTCTCCTTTTTTGCCCGCGCCAGGCCCCGCGCCGGGCCGTGCGAAAACCCCCGCTCTTCTGCTACTTGGCGTTGTCTCTGCAGCGTGACATCTGCCCTGGCAGTGCCCGCGACTTGTCTTTATTTCAGCACCTACGAAATCCTCAAGTCCCGCCTCTTGAAACTTTCAAGCGGCGAAGACGCGCAGCCAGCAGCAGCAGACCAAACCTTTCTGTCCGCGCTGCTGCTGGACTCCGTCTGTGGCTTTTCTGCCGAAGCTATTTCTTGCATCTTCTACCTCCCCATGGACGTCTGCAAGGAAAGACTGCAGGTACTCTTTGCGGCTCTGCAGCCGCTTGTGGCGGCGCCAAAGTTGAAGGCATTCGTTGCTTGACAAGCCTAAAGCCTGCCAGTGGCTTCTCACAGTTACTTTTCCCCGAAGAGCCCTATTATTTATTGTTATTATTATCATTATTGTTGTTATTATTGTCATTGCTACTATTTACGGACTCAACAGGTGTACTCGACGCTGCGTCCGGGTGAATTCTGCAAGCGAAAACCAACTCTGGCTGAAGTGGCCACTGCCGGCGGGTTCCGCGGCCTTTATTGCGGCTACGGCGCCACACTTTTATCTTTTGGCCCCTTCAGCGCAATTTTCTTCACCCTGAATCATGTCAGCTTGTCACAGCAGTACAAGTGCATTAACAAACACAGGTGGAAAGAAACTGACAACCACCAGTTCAAGTCGTGACTTTTCCTACGAATGAGTGAATAGAGAGAAAATAATGGTCTCCTTATGCCTAATTCCGTCATTTTTGTTTGTTTTGCAACAGTTTCGCCCCAGCGTCGAGCCTCTTTGTGGCGGTGTCTTTGTCACTGCTTTGCTGCATCAATTTCTGTTCCGCAGCAATTCGGAAAGATTGCAAACAGCCTGAGAGGCTCTGAACCCGCTTCCCCGAAGTCGCCAACTGCAGAATGCTGCCCACTTATTGACGCCTCCGTCGCAGGTGCAGCTGCTGGAGCTGCTGCTTTCTTGACTGCGCCTTTGGACAAGGTGAAACTGAGGTGAGCCAAATCTGCAGGACCCAACTTGCGCAGCAGAATACCAGTGCTACTGCTGATTAAAACTTACATTCTTTTTGAATCCAAGAAGTAAGGCACAGAATCAACCAAAGAACATAGATCGCTGTATATCGATTGCCTGGACGATACTGCTTGACGGTAGAATCCATGGAGAGGTCTGGTAAGGTGGCTTGCCTTGACAGCAGGAGTTGAACAGATGCTTTTTGCTAAGGGAAACAGTTTATTGCACATATCACTGCATAAATAAATACTTCAACAATATGCGGTGTGTACTTGCGGGGCCTTTTGACCTGGTCGAGACGTTTTCTCTTTCTGAGTCTGTTGTCGCGGTGCTTCTTCTCAGGCTTCAGGTTCAAATGGAGAACTCCCAATGCCTCGAGCAGCCTTTCTACTACAGAAATTTCTTCCATGTGGGGTCTTGGAGGGTCTATAGTAGCACGTGGCTGCCTGCTGCTGCTTATTGTCTTTGCCTTTGCGTATGTGTATTCCTGTGTACGCGAAAAAGTGAAGAGCCGCAGATCTTCTGTTTGTGTGCTCAGGGTTTGGCCTCTTTGTTCAGATCTGAAGGCCTCAGGGGCTGTTTTGCGGGCGTGGGGGCTCGCACACTCTTCCACTCGGGATCTCTCTTCATGACATTCCTCTTCATGCAGACTGCGCGTAATGTATACTCCCGTTACTGTGAGGCATAGGGAAAACAGATCACTACAGCTCCGATAGAGCTGTATGTGAGAGCAGCTATCTCAGCAATTTGCAACTGAGACAAAAAGGCTGGTTCATTGCAGCAATGAAGAAAGTATATGCAATTGATTGTGCCCAAATTGAGTTTTTGTGAGGCGTAGAGGCGCAGCCAATTTCGGCGCGTCAGCACACCGCCGTAAGCAGCCTTCGGTGATCCTGGCCAGAGCTGGCTGGCTGCGGGCCAGCTGCGGCCAATATTGGTTTAAAAAAAGAGCATGAAGACGGAAATGAGCGCGGAAGCAGCGATGATCATGTCGCACGGGGGACTGTGAAAGACCGAACGATTGACGACGCGTGTGAACCGCCTGCCCAGCCGCAGAGAAAAGGCGTGAAACGTTCTGGGCTGGCTACTAAAGCTGCACCCAAAAGCTGGGAAGCACACTCTTTTTTTCTTATTTTCACGTGATGGAGCCACATATGGCCAAATGTTCTGAGCAGCAAATGTTCTGAGCAGTGTCACAGTGCTTCCCAAGTTTACGTGGCTCTGAACTGCTGCTGGTGCTCTGAGCTGCTGCAGCACACCACGCTGCGGTACAGCCGCACATTATGGAGGGAAGAAAGGGAGTGCCCTTACTTGCACTGGGCTGAGGGAAAGGCAAGGCTTAGATTTGGCATTGCCGCTTTGCAGTTGGCCTTAGACTGCGTGTGCCCGATTTTCACTTCGGGCAGGCACCACGAGAACAGATCCTATTGAAGGCGCAACGCAGAAGATATCTGCAGTGCCTGTCACTGTGGCGCTGTACTGCTAAGATAAAGTTGAGCAAGTGT